CTGGCCTCAGGTTTTACGATGCGCGGGGCACGGTTGCATCAAGGCACCCGCCAGTTGTATTCGCTCGACTGCTGCAGATGTTGGTCGCGCTTTTCGGCGCGCCTCGACGCTTCAAATTGGATGGGGGATGCGATTTCGAGCGAGAGTTCCCCAAGGAGCTGGGGGGCATGGGATGCCGCCTGATGACCACCTCTGCGGCTGCGTCGCAGCAGAATGCCACCGTGGAGCGACGTGGAGGCATGTGGAAGGCGCGCGCGAGGAAGCTGATCGACCAGTTCAGCATCAGGTTCGACCAGCCCGAGATCGCCCACAAGGTCCAGTGACTGATCGCCTCCGTGTGCTGGGCCATGAACAGCCAGGTCAACTCCACGGGCTACTCGCCGTCGCAGTGGGTGCTCGGACGAGGCCATCGGCTTCCCTTCTGCTTGCTGGACAACGCCGGCAGGCTTTCCCAGCGCGAGCGCCTCGTGTCCGACAAGCCGTTCTCAGAGAGGATCGCCATCGTGAAGGCCGCGCAGATCTCCGCGCAGCAGGTGATGTTCAACCAATCCCTCTCGAGAGCGCTGCTGGCCCGGTCTCGGGCAGATGGAGCTCAGCGCGCCAGCGACGTCTACCGGGCCGGCGACCAGGTGCACCACTGGAGGGGCAACGGCAAGCCCAAGCGAGAATGCGCTTTGCAGTGGCACGGGCCTGGCGTCATCATCGGGTTCGAGGGGGCCTCGAACGTCCAGGTCAGCCACTGCCCCACGACCGCGAAGGTCAACCGTGGACACCTACGCCGCGCCGCGGCATCGGAGCTCGCGCCGCGGGGACAAGTGCTGAACGCGCTGAGCGGTAGCCAGCCGCCCGGGCCACCACCGGGCGCCCCGCCAGGGGCCTCAGGGCCCGCGCCTCCTCGAGGTCCTGGAGGAGGCGGCGGCGGCGCAGGCGGTGGGCCCCCGCCGCCTGGCCACGGCGGAGGACGCGATGGCCCCGCGCCGCCAGGAGACGGCGATGACGCCTTTCTCGACCTCTCGAGTTCTACACTGCAGAAGCGCCCCCGCAGCGAAGGGCAGACCCCGCCGACAGCGCTGCAAGCGCTAGTTCAGCAGCCAGCCATCCCGGCGCACAACTTCGGCAACATCGAGAACACTGAAGCGAACAGGCGCGCCCATCAGCACGCCCAATGGCTGGCGCGCAAACAAGGAGACGGTGATTTCACAACCAGTGGAGGAGCTAGCGGCAGTGGAGGAGCAGCCCCACCGCCTTCGGGAGTCGCGGCGCCGCCGCTGCCGCCGCCACCGCCGGCGGCGCCGTCCCCTGCGGCGCCCGACATGGGCTCAGGTGCTGCTGCCGCCCCTGCCGCCGCTGATCATCCTGCAGCCCCTGCCGCCGCAGATTTCCATCAAAAACTGGAACCCGCGCCTCAGGGCCCTGTCGACGACGCCGAGAACGACGGGAAGTCCGACAGCTCCGGATCGGACATGATTCGGGACTGGCAGAGGACCGCGGAGGAGCAGTTTCGACAGGAAGCAGTGGCAAGGCGCCCACTGGACACCGAGAACCAGCGCGGCACGAAGGCACAGCGACAGTTTCACCAATAATCCGCACCGCATGCTCTTGGACGTGACCGCGAGCTCGACCCGCGCGAGCGCGCAGCCAAGCGCAAGGAGCTGTTGGGCGAATTGCCCAAGTGCTTCAAGAGGCCGAAGGACACGAACATGGTCGACCTCTACTTGGACAACTACTTCCAGGAGCACGCGGACGAGCTCCACGCAAGCGCGCGACTCCGTGAGGCACTGCTCACGGGCAACGCAAGCACAACGCCGCCACGAAGACCGAGTGGCCTAAGTGGACAGAGTTCGGCGCCTACAAGAAGCTCCCGCCCAGGGAGCTGAAGGAGCTCCTGCGGCGCAATCCTGGCACTCGCCCTGCGGGCGCACGCTGGGTGCTGACCAGCAGGGGCCAGAACGTCATGAAGGCCCGCCTGGTCGTGCAGGGCTGCCAGGGGGGCAAGTCGCAGACCAGGACAGACGCGCCCACGGGGTCTCGGGGCGCGCTGTACCTTGCCCTGGCCGCCGCGGCCCAGAATAACTGGGACATCTCGTCCTGCGACGCGATGACGGCCTACCTGCAGTCGGGGAACATCGAGAGGCGGCTGCCCCTGCGCATGCCGGCCAAGAACCCGCCGCCGGGGACGCAGCCTGGCGAGATCACGATGGCCACAGGCGCGATCTACGGCACGCGCGACGCCGTGAGGCAGTGGTACCTCTACGTCCAGAAGGTCTTCGCCGAACGCGGCCTCGTGGAGAGCACGCTCGAGAAGGGCCTTTACTACTTCCACGACGGAGGTGGGCTCGCCGCGGCTATGTCGACCTGAAGGCCCCGAAGGGCCGCAATGCCGAGAATCGGCTCTAACGCCTCGTGGGGTCGAGGCCGACACAATGGGGGGCTTGCTGGTGTGGGGGCTGGCGTGGTGGGGGGGGGGGATAGGGGGGGGGGGTGGGGGGGGGGGAGTGGTGAGTGGGGACGGGTGCGGGTGGTTGGGGGAGGGGGGGTGGGGGGGGGGGTGGGGTTGGGTGTGGGGGGGGGGTGGGGGTGGGGGGTGAGGGGTGGGGGGGGGTGGGTGTGGGGTGGGTGGGGGGGGGTGTGGGGGGGTGGGGGGAGGAAGGGGGGCGGAGGAAGGGTGGGGTGTGGGAGGGGTTGTGGGTGGGGGGGGGAGGTGGGGGTGTGCGACAAGAGGGGGAGGGTAGGTGTCGGGTGGTGTTGGCTTCTGGGGTAGGTTTTTTATGGGTTGTTATTTTTATGTTTCTTTATTTGTTTTTTTATTTTTTGCTTTTTTTCTATTTTACCGCGCCACACGCTCGGCCAGCTTCCTTCTCGGCTCTGCAAGCCCAGACGCCGGGTGGACATTCGCCTGAGCGGTGGAGCTTGCAATTCGCCGCGCCAACGTCGCCAACGTAGCCGCCGTGGCCGACGCCAAAACACCCTGAAACAAGCCGTCGCCTACGTGGCTCATGGGATGTGGTTTGGTGACGGCGTTTTTGTGTTTTTTTTTTTTTTCTTTTTTTTTCTTTTAATTTGTTTATTTTTGTTTCATTTTTTTATTTTCTTTATTTTTTTTTCTCTTTTTCGTTTTTTTTCGACCGCGAACTTCGCGATCGCGCTGAAGCGCAGGCTCGTCGATCTGATGGCCGCCACCACCGCGTGCTTCAGCGACGCTGCGTTCGCCAGCGCGGGCGGGGTCAAGAGCCAGGGGGGCATGGTGATGGGGCTCACTCACCGCCCGCGCGATGTCGTCGGCGGCCGCTACGACCTTCGCCTGCCCGTGGCCTGGCACTCGGGCACGGTCAAAAGGTCGGTGAAGTCGACCCTCGCTGCCGAGGGCTACGCGACCCTCGAGGGATCGGAGACCAACGTCTGATTCCGCCAGCTGCTGACCGAGGCCTACAACCCCAAGATGGCGCCCACGCAGATCGTCCTCGCCGACAAGCGCCCTGGGGAGATCTACAGCGACAGCAAGGGTCTCGTGACGCACGTCGCTTCTGATGGGGGCCAGCCTACCGACAAGCGGTTCCGCATCGTCGCCTCCATGATCAAGGAGGCCGTGCACCCCAACAGTGCACTCAAGTTCAGCTGGATCCCGACCTGGGCCATGGTCGCGGACATCTTGACCAAGGCGATGGAAGCCGGCGCCTTGCTGGCTCTCTTCGGGGTTCGCAAGCGCAGCTACGGGACCCGGCAGCCACGTGCCGCCATGCTCGCTTCAGTCCTGTTTACCTGCGTCGGCAAGGTCAAGGGACGGCCTACGCCTACGCCAACGGTGCTGGACTATAGCTTCTACATCTGCTTGCTGACGTTCACGCTGTTCGTCGGCATGGCTATCGGCTTCGGCATCTTCGACGCTCTGGGCGATCATGAGGCAGAACAACATGATCGCCACCGAGGAGAACGTCGCCGAGGCGAAGGCAATGGGTGAGCATCCCGGCTGGGGCGGCCGCGCGATTGGCCGGCGTCGTATTTCAAGTTACCATCCCCGAGGATCGTGACCACGACGGCGACATCGCGGCGCGCCCCTCGGTTGGGCCCAGCAGCGCGCAGGCGTCGTGTTCTGCGGCATCGGCTTCAGGCGTCCCTTTCGGACACCACCCATCGCAACCGCCTGCGTTTCAGCTGCCGCCGCTGCCGCCAGCACCGCCGCCTGCCAGCGCATCACCTACCGCAACATCAGCGCGATCGAGGTCAGCGAGATCTCAGAGTACGGATTCAGCCCCTCCCTCGCCAAGCATAGTCACCGCGTCGAGTTCATCGAGCTCAGTATCTGCGAGTGTGGTTTCGTGGAAGGGTCCCTTGCCGACGGCGTCGTCGAACGAGATGCTCAACTGCGTGGCCGCCGTCCCCCGCCATGATTTCATAATCGGACATAACCCGCATGGCGTCTACATTACCTGCAAGACTTGCAAGAAGCACTCGTCGTGGCTTCCCCAGTTCCACAGGAACAGCAACCCCGATGACACGAGCTTCCTGGAAGTCGCGATGGATGATCTCATAGGCCGTTGGAGGAGGCTCACCGGCAGAGACTGCTGGCGCGGACCTGACCTGATGGACAAACCGACGAAGCCCAAAAAGGACAAATGAATCCCGCTCGGTGTCTGGACGGCAGGTTGGCCGGTCGAACCGGCTAATATTATGCTGTTGTTGCTAGACGGCCGTTTCTTGCGACCCCGCTTACTTTGGTCTGCATTGTTTCTCAGGTTTCACACCCGGCTAAAAGATTTACACGTACATCCGCATTTATAGAAGCGTCATCCAGCGTGCACAAGTTTTTTGTTGTGCAAATCTGTGATGACGATCGCCCCCGTTCAGGTTTTATCTCGATAAGATAGCTGTTAAAATTTGTGTCACTTCGCGATCGAACTTCTGCTATTGCTATCCTTACCTGGTTTTGATTATAGCGCCGGCGGCGCTGAGAGCTGAGAATATCCTGCATGTCGCGTGTAGCGCAACCGCTGAAGTGCCCCAAGGGCTGCCTGCAATGCAAGCCGTGTCGGGCCGTTTGCTTGCCTTTTTGCCAGCACGCCTGGCACTCCGCTTAATGAACACAGCGCCAGGCTTATATGCCCGGCTGCTCTGGCGCCTCGTGCGCCCGCCCGGCGCCGTTTGAGCACCGTGCAGGAGGAGTGTGATTCCAGGAGACTCGCTGCTCTCCTCACTCGCCCTCTGCCGCTGCTGCTCAGCTGTCCAGGGTCTCTCTGCCGCCGCCCATTTGGTTTTAATCATTTTCCAGGGCCCTTAGCTAATTGAACTACGACCTCTGCCGCGCAGAGCGAGAGAAAAGCATTACCAGCGATAGTGTTCCACATCACCCCCCCTCCCCCGCGCGAGCCGCTGCTGAGGAAGCCCATGCCAAGAAACACCCTGCATGCCTCCGGTGCCCTGGGTTTCTTGGGTGCCGATGGCATTGCGATGGAGAGCGTGGCGTTTCCACGCCAAAAATCTATGGACGTCCTGGCGTCAGAGGGTTGGGTTTCTTATGGAGGGTTTCTTGTGGTCGGGTCTTCATTGTAAGGAGGCCCATGAGAAAAGGTCGACGCCCTGGCGGAGGCCCCCACTGTGTCAGCCGCCGCGGGGCCGGCAGCGCAAGAGGAGCCGCCGCGGGCTGCGAGCTTTCAGAGTTTGCCCAAATTTGAAGCCCGAGGAGGAGGAGGAGGAGGAGGACGAGGACGAGGACGAGGACGAGGACGAGGACGAGGACGAAGACGAGGACGAGGAGGAGGAGGAGGAAGAGGAGGAGGAGGAGGAGAAGAAGCCAGAGCCTCTCTTTCCTTCTCTCCTCATCATGTTCCCTGCCCCCTCCCTTCCTCTGGATTCGAACAAAAAACATAAACGTAAACTTTCGGCGCTCCGCGCGGATTTCTCTGATCCGACCTGGGGCCCTTGGGCGGCGCCTGGCGCCGTTCATGGCGCGTTCCGCGCGCCAGGGAGGGGGGGCCAGCGCAAATCCAAAAAGTCCGCGCGGACCGTCAAAAGTTTATGTTTATTTGTTTCTTCCTCCTCCGGGAGCGTTGCTGTTCCTTCCTTTCTTCTCCCCCCCCGGCCCATCTTTTCCGACCCCCCCCCGTCTTCCCTTATCAGCTCTTCTCTTCCCCGCGCCCCCCTCCGGCTGATTACTGTCGGCCGCAGGTTTGGCGTCCTTTTTGGCGATGCGAAAAAGCTCGCAGCGCGAGCCAGTTCAAGTCATGCATTGGTCCCGGGCCAGTTTCCCTCCACTCCTTTTTACTTATGCTTGTTTCCACCAGGCGTGTCGGTAGGACGGGCCAGTCGTTTCGCATGAGGTTTCTTCATATTGTAATGGCCTCTGGCCAGTGCCGCCGATCCGGGGTCTCCAGATTCGGTGATCTTCGCGGCTCTGTGTCCTCCGTCCTCGATTCTTCCGGTCCTCTTTCTTCTCCTTAGTTCTCGTTATCCTTTGCCTCCCGCTGACCCTTTTGCATCGCGTGCTCGCTCCCCTCTCCGTCCTCGCTCGTCCTCGTTCTCGCTGGGGGGGGGCTTGGAGAGGTCCCGGGGGAAGTCCGGGTAGGGTTCTGAGGGGAGGGTCTTGGGGGCGGTAGCGGCTAGATCGGATGGGGGTCCCTGGGCCCCCCCGAATCATTTTGGAGATGCGAAAATCATTAAGAAAACACAAGTACGGGACCCCCCCCCTTTCCCGGACCCCCCGAAACATTTTGTGACGCGCAAATTACTACAGCAAAGGATCGAACTCCTGGGTGTTCCTTTGAGAACGACCACTTCACAACCAGAACAGCCCACTCTACAACCAGAACGACCACTTCACAACCCAGACGGGGCTCTTTGCAACCAGAACGGCCTCTTTACAACCACCCTTCAGAAGCTCGCGCGCGCGCGCTCTGAAGGGGCTCCTGAACATTCTGAGCGCTTTGCAGAGGCTTCTGAGCACCTGAGCGCTTTGCACAGGCATCTGAGCGCCTAAGCGCTCTGCAGAGGCTTCCGAGCGCCTGAGCGCTCTGCAGAGGCTTCTGAGCGCCTGAGCGCTTTGCACAGGCATCTGAGCGCCTAAGCGCTCTGCAGAGGCTTCCGAGCGCCTGAGCGTTCTTCCGATGATTTTGAGCGCCTGAGCGCTTTGCAGAGGCTTCTGAGCGCCTGAGCGCTCTGCAGAGGCTTCTGAGCGCCTGGGCGTGTTGCAGAGCCGTCTTAGCGCCTGAGCGCTCGGCAGAGGCTTCCGAGCGCCTGAGCGCTCTGAAGCCTCTGCCGAGCGAGTACACAAACTGCTTGCGAGACCCAAGAAATACACATTGAAATCAGCATGCATTGGCTAGAATTGAACCAAAGATTTCTCGGGATCTTCCCGCCCTCCTGGGTACGCATGGTTCCGCAATTGCGCAAACATGCGTTTTTTGCGATTGCCACACGACGGGGCGCGAGGACAAACATGGCCTATGATGCAGCAAAAACAACGATTCGAAATTCACACGCGTTGGCTAGAGTTTTATGAACGGCTTCTTGGCCACTTTTCTGTCATCCTGGGTGCGCATGCGTCCGCGAATGCGAAAACATGCGGTTCTGTTTTGGCCAGACGCTTAAGCGCGAGGACGACAGCTGTCTGTGAGACCAAAAACAACAAATTTGCATCCACACGTAGTGGCTCGAACATTTACATCGATTTCTTGGCCACATTTCCGCCTTCCGGGGCACGCATGCTCGCAATTGCGAAAACATATGGATTCGTGATGATCAGACGATGAGGTGCGAGGACAAACATGGCTTACGTTCCAAAGAAATAGACGAACATAACGCGTTTTGAAATCCACATGTATTGGCTAATCACCAACTTCGTTTCCACATTTCCGTCCTCCTGGGTATGCATGCGACCGCGAATGCGAAACCGTCCGATTTTGGTCATTGTCAGACGATGAGGGGCAAGGACGAGGGTTGTCTGTGCGGCCAAACACACACGTTGCGATCCACATGTATCGGCTAGAACTTTACTAATGATTTCTTGGCCACATTTCTGCCCTCCTGGGTACGCATGCTTCCGCACTTCTGAACGCATACTGGTTTTTGCTACTACCAGACGATGAGGCGCGATGACAAACATGGTTTTCATGCAAAACAAAACCATTTGAACTCCACATGTGTTGGCTATAATTTGACAAATGATTTCTTTGCCACGTGTCCGCTTTCCTGGGCGCGCATGCTTCCGCACATGCGAACACATACTGTTGCGTCGTTGCCAGACGACGAGGCGCGAGGGCAACATATGTCTATGAAGCAAACAAATGTGAAATCCGCTCGCGTTGGCTAGAATTGTACCCGCGATTTCTTGGCCAAATGTCCGCTCTCCTGGGGGCGCGTGCGTTCCGCTGCGCCTTTGTCGGCGAACGCTTATTGTTTTCTATTCCAGAAGAATCAGGGTTTTCAGGCAGAGATTATCCGGCCCCAAAGAATGATGCAGATTGAGAGTATGGATGTTAAACAAATTTAAATCACCCAGACCTGCCACCAGCCTGTAGCGGGATGATCTCTATTGGATCTCAATTGGCGTCCAATAGCTCTTTTGGAATAGCACGAGGATAACAATAGGGCGCCAATCGGGGCACAATCTGAGTCTAACAGGACAGGTTCTTGTTGAGCTACTGTTGGGTCCCCGTGGGATCCAAGTAGTATGCCCGTATGGATCGTAAAGCAAGGATTCCGATCGGATTTCAGGGCGACACCCTTGTACTTGTCAATAGGGCTTTGATTGGATTCCAAGAGAAAGACGGTTTCTACTGCTTTCGAATAAAAACCCAGAGGAATACCCACCGGGTTTCCATATAGTACCCCCAGCGCGTTTTCCGCAGCATTCCAATAGGAAGGTTCTTCGATTGTAATCAATTGGGGTTTCCAATCGTCTTCCATTAGGAACGTCCCCAACGGGTCAATAGGAAGCATCCCTGTCGGAGTCGAATAGGACACCCTTAAGTCCCATATCGAGGAATCCTGTTGGATACCAATGGGATTCATCTGGTGCAACCAGGATCCCAGTGGGAAGGGCGCCGGTGGGATTCCGATCGGGTTCTTGTTGGATACCATTCGGAGTCCGCGACTTCACAGATTCTTCGCTTCAGTCGGGTCGATTTACAACCAACACGCTTCACAGAGCGAAGTGTCTCCATTACTTGGACCTACGGAGATTTCTGCAACTGAAGAACATGTGTCGCCTATGTGCTTTTATTCGCCAGGTTATAAAGTGGCCTTCCTGGTTGCAAAGTGCCCTTCTGGGAAAACCCATGCTGGCTGTAAAATGCCCTATCTGGTTGTAAAGTGGCCGTCCTGGTTGCAATGTGACCCACGCGCCCCCTCCCCCCCCTTCCCCGGCAAAGCCACCCCGGCGACCCCCCCTAAGCAGAGCTGAAGTTTTTGCTTAGGCTCAGACCTGAAACTCTTGCTCAGGTTCCTTGTAGCTCACACGCTGGATCGGCGGATTTACGTTTCCAATTCAAATAATAAGTTTCCCCCCACATGATCATACATATTATTCGGATTTGTGTGTACACACCTATATATATATATATACTCCTCCCTCATTTGCTCCCCGCTCTCCGTCGTTCCTCCTCGTCCTCGTATCCTTCTGCGGGGCAGTGCAACCTCGGGATAAGGGCGGCGGGGTAGCGCAAGGCTTCTTAGTGTGAATCCTTTGGAAAACACCACAAAGGGTCAGCTCTGACCAATAGCAGAAAGTTTGGAGGACAATTTGTATGTTTTGATTTTCTTTTGTGATGTTCATAGATCGGCGGTTGGAGAGGGCCCGCTTTGCCCCCCCCCAGATTTGTCGCGATCTCCACGTTGCGTTCAGCTTGTCACGCGCTTTTTGATCCAAAGACATCGGGCCGAAGTCGGGCCACCGCCGCGTTGCGTCGCCCAGCCCGTGGATATGCGCGATGTTCACATGTGTTCCTCCTCCTCCTCCTCCTCCTCCTCCTCCTCCTCCTACACCTCCTCCTCCTCCTCCTCCTCCTCCTCCTCCTCCTCCTCCTCCTCCTCCTCCTCCTCCTCCTCCTCCTCCTCCTCCTCCCCCTTTGTCCATGTCGCTGCGCGCGCAGGGGGCGCCGCCCCATCTTGCCCGCGCGGGCCCAGTCCGCAGCTACATCTATTGTTGCCGGGCAACTTCCCTTCGTAGCACCCCCGACGC